CCCCCTCCCACAGGGTGAAATCCGCTGTACCGCCTTCAACGAGACGGCCGAGTACCTGAACCAAGTGATCGCCGTGGGCAAGGTCTTTTCCGTGTCGCGCTGCCGTGTGGTCGATGCCAAGAAGCAGTTCTCCGGCCTGGCACACAACTTCGAGATCAGCATCGACAATTCGTCGGACGTGGTGGAGCAGGACTCCGCCGACTCCAGCATCCCCCAGGACAGCATGACCTTCGTCAAGTATTCCCAGCTGCCGGAGACGGAGAAGAACACCAATGTCGATGTCATCGGTGTCATCCGCCGGGTGGAGGCCCCGGTGGAGATTGTCTCCCGCGCCAAGAACCGCACCTTCATCAAGCGCGACGTGGAGCTGGTCAATGACGAGCTCATTTCCGTCATCCTGACCGTGTGGGGCGAAACGGTGGAGCAATTTTCCGAGAGCAGCATCGGGTCCATTGTGGCCGTCAAGAGTGCCCGTGTCGGGGACTTCGGCGGCCGGTCCCTGTCCGTGGGGTTCGCCTCGTCGGTGCTCTTTAATCCCAACTCCCCGGCCGCCGAGCGCCTGATGACCTGGTGGAAGACCGTCGGCGAGGGGGCCTCCTTCGTGTCGATCTCCTCCGATGGCGGCGGGTCCGGCGGGGGCGCCGGCTCGCGCGTGCCCAGCAACCTCGCCACCCGGCCGCTGTGTGCCCTGCGGGACGAGCAGATCGGCGAGAGCGGCCCCGAGGTGGTGGCCGTCAAGGCCACCGTCACCGTCGTCAAGACCGACGGCACCCTCCTGTATGCCGCCTGCCCGAACACCACCACCTGCCGCGGCAACAAGGTGATCTCCGAGGCGCCGGGGCAATTCCGCTGCCCCAACTGCAATGTCGTTCACGCGACCCCGGCCCATCGGTACGTCCTGTGGGTCTCGGCCTTGGCCGTGTCGCTGTCTGGTCCTTTGTCTCTTTCTGCCTCTTTTTGTCCCTCCTTGTCTCTTTTTGTCCCTCCTTGTCTCTTTTTGTCCCTCCTTGTCCCTTTTTGTCCCTCCTTGTCCCTCTTTGTCCCCCCTCCCCCTCCTCCCTCTCACACACATATGCGCCACAGTTTTATTCTCCCCCTCAGCATGGCCGACATGACCGGGTCCATTTGGGCCACGTCCTTCGACAACACTGCCACCCTGCTGACCGGCACCACGGCCGATCATGTGGAGGAGCTGCGCACCGCCGGCGACATGTCCTTCGTCACCTACTTCAAGAACTTCACCTTCCGCGAGTTCAACTTCGTCCTGCGCGCGCGGCTGGACTCCCTCAATGAGGAGATGCGCGTCCGGTGCCACATCAACGCCGTGGAGCCGGTGAACTTCCGCAACGAATCCCTCAAGACCCTGGAGCTGATCAACCAGTATTCCCTGTGAGGGCATCCTCCCTGCCCCCGCGCCCTTCCCGCCGGGCCGCCGGCCGTCTCCCTCCCCTCCCTGTGAGCCGGATCGTGCCTCGGCCTCGCTCAAAATAAACCCCCCGTGCTGATGTGCTGCCCGCGCGCCGTGTCGGTGTGCATGCCGGCGTGCCACCTCCCCTGCCTCCCATGGTGACGGCGATCCTCTCGGGATGCGATCGCGCAAGTG